GAAAAAGTTGTAAATATGCTGCAGCCGTGTTAGATTAAAACAATAACTGGCATCATAAAAAACAAAAAGAAATAACCCTGTCGTTAGGGCTGATGTTTATTGCGTCGCAGGTTGAGTGTCAAAACTTTTTATAGGTAAAGTTGATCGTAAAACACGTTCAGATGGATTAAAAGGGCCGACACTTGAAGCTTGAGCGGGGTTAGGCTAAACGAGACACATTATTTGTCCCTGTACGCCTTTACGCGTTGTTTATTTTGGTACTTTTTATAATGCAAGGTTTATAAATCTTCCCCGAAATTATTAGGAAAGTATTCTATACCCCCCAAGATACATAAGGTAATAAAGTTATTATATTTACCGTCTTCCGAGGAGCTGACTTTGCTAATAGGCACAGGCTATAATGTAGCGCCAACTATCATTTTGACAGTTAGTACATGTCAAATGGTCATTGAATTGTGGTCTTTGAATCCCAATGAATAAACGTAAAAAATATAAATCAACTAATAGATGTTTTTTTATCTCACCTAACAGTCAAAATAGATGGCGTATATTTTAACCACATATTTCAAAAGTTAGCTTAGTTAAAAGAATGTTATAAAGATACTGGTAAAAACATACCACACTATTATAACCAAAACTAAATTACATTACAAATTTATTCCATATTTATTCTGTAGAATAGGTCTTGTAACAGTTTCCAGTTTTCCGGATTTGTAGGTCGTGGAAGTAATAACCCAGCACAGCAATGTAACATCACTCCAGAATAACAATGACAGTTGAGACATTCATTACGGATACAAAATATTACTTTAAGCCGTATGATTACAAGGAAAATTTAACCCAAAAGACAGTGACATAAGAAATATTATACGACGGCATCAACACTTTTCCTTCTTCTGAGCATTAAAGTTGCAACGTATTCCTTACGTTCATTATTTTTATTCTAATTGTACAACTCAAGCATATTTACATAATATAAACTTCTTAGTGGAGAGATACATAGTTTGTATGGGAAAGCATTCGCGATTTCTTTTATAAATATTGCTGACCTAACTTTTGCCAGCAGATCAAACTACGAATGTGGAAATGGATAGGACATACACTCTGAAGAGATTCCAATTATAGCCACAAGCAGGTGCTTGTTTGGAAACCCGTTCCAAGCAAAGCAAAGAACTGGCGTCGTACAGTTACAGTTACGTCAAAAGTCAAAAATCATTTATTCATATAGGTAACACAATGTACACTTGTGAACGTCAATAAAGAAATATACATTAATTGCTGCTAATTTTACATTTACTGCCAGTTCTCAAATCAAGGGCGTAGAACGGAAGAGAAGGTCTAGCAATAAACTAAAAATTTCATGTTTAGATCTTAAAATATTTTTAATATCTAGAGGCTTAGATTGTAAAAGGAAAGAAGAATAAAGTCCATTCACAATCAAACATAACGCACCATGGTTTGACATTCCTATATCCTACCTATTTTGGGGTAATAAATTCAGCTACGATAATTTAATTGCCGCCATCATCCATCAATACATAAGAATATTTAAAGCTTACCAAAGATATAATATGACAGAGGAAAAATTACTAGTGGGAAATCTCTGCCCTCTAAACAACCATGCCCTTAGGGAAAGGCTTTGTAACGTTATGAAAAATGCGTGGTTTCCGTATTAAATAAGCAGATTTTTATGATAAAGAATGCGGAGCGTATGTAAAATGAGAAATGGTCTCTACACTCGTAACATTTTGTGTCCTTATCATCGTATAAATGTTATGAAAACATATTCACATCTTGTTTTTTACTATCTAGAATAGCTTTAGTTAGTTCAGTTTTCTATTATGGGGTACCTATATTCTATGATTGTCTATTTTCTATTATTAGGTATGCGATTCTTAAATGTATTTTAATTATGTTAAGAAAGGTTATAGAATAAAACAAAAAAAGGAAACCATATAATATTAAAATACATATATATGAAATCAAAATATCATATATTCATGTAGGTAACTAAATGTACACTTATCTTGACAGTCTTTAAAAGAGATAAGAAATTAATGCTTTTAAATTTACATTTAAGTACTTCCAGTTCTCAAATCAAAGGCGTAGAATGGACGAGAAGAACTGGCAATAAACTCTGCGTCACTCTTTGAAATGGCCAAGGTTTTTTAAACTAAATTGACAACAAAACTAAACGTTATAATATAGTACGAATTTTTATGTACCTAATCATGTTTACATATTAATCGCTTATTCGCATTATTTTTCATGGCAAAAAAAAATAAATAGGTGAATCATGTTGACTTGTTGATTGATTAACCCTAGTTTTGATAAGCTTCATACAGTGCCAGTCCCGCACGTCAACGTCCGGTCACCGGACGTTATTTCAGAACCGGAAAATCGCCAATCTCCGATTCTACATATTTTTACGACGTGAAATGTCAAGCGTCAATGCACATTAACATTCAGATTCAGAACCAAATATTCTGCATAATTAGGTAGTATTTTAATAGGAGCAATATGTTTCTAGGAGTCTAGTAAAGTGTGCAATTCAAGCGTATACCTTGCGCCGATATTTTGTAACCTCCAATAGCGATAGTGATCACGACGTTTTTGTATGCAATATCTATATAGTTCTGTCAATAACCGTAGGGCTGACGCCTCAACCTTGTGATCGATACAAAAACGCACCATTGTGTTAACATCGGCATATCATGGCACAGAGAATGGCGTCTGTCAGGCACAGACAACTAATTGACTAAAAAAAGTATCAAAATTCAAAAATTCAAAAATCATTTATTCACGTAGGTAACACAATGTACACTTGTGATTCGTCATTAAAGAAATACATATTAATGCTTCTAATTTTACATTTACTGCCAGTTCACAAATCAAGGGCGTAGAACGGAAGAGAAGAACTGGCAATAAACTCTCCGCCACTCTTTTTAATCGCCATGTTTTTCAAAGACACATGCAGAAGGCTACAGTCTACACTCACAGACGCCGGATTGGATCGCCACTGGATTATTATTATATTACCAGCTGTAATAATTCCAGGGTGATTTATAATGAACATAGATAATAAGAATTCCGCCTGACTTCGCCTATTCTAGAGGATCTCGTCATTGTCTTCAATGTCAATGATTTTACCACAACAATGCAGTCAATAATAAAAATATACACTAGTGATATATTTAAAGACATAAAAAGGGTATATAAAGAAACCAGTTTAATTAAAACTTATACCAATAATGTCGTTTTTTATATTACTAAGCCATCTCAATTATAAATAGTGCACTCACTTTATTACCATGGCTGGCGGAAACCTAAACACTATGTTTTTATGATTACCAATAGATGGCGCTTTTCCAAACCAATAATGCTTGTTGTTAAAATTACCATGGGTATTAGAAGCCTAAAGATAAAATGTTTTCATGCAAAACAGATAGGTAGCACTTTTCCAAACCAATCATGCTCATAACAAAACAAGTCTGGTATAAGTTTGTATTTTATATTTATAAGTAACTAGCGGGTGACGAAAAATTTCTTTTAAATATTATTCTTCTTTTAACTTCCCGCTAAGAAAATTGAAATATTTCGAAATCGATTTTTAAAGATGTTGACGTTTAGAGGTTTAGGAAGCTCGAGTTTCCGCGGTGAAGTCCGTATGGATAAATTTTCATTAAAGTAAAACAGCAATACAAAAATGAAGGAACTTGAATTTAATAAATAAATAGCCATAAACCATCTAGGAAAAATTGGATGTTTATGTCGATAGATCATTTTGGCTAGGAGCCTAAACGAAGACCATTTTTTTTAATTAAGCTGCCCAAAACCCATAATTTAATACCCAGTCTTTCTATATTAATGAATGATACTAAGGCTAATTATAAACCAGACTGAAATTAGTTGTTATGTAAATAGAAATACCATCATAAATATGGTAACAAATTCCAAATTATATCACAAATTTATTATTAAACTTATGTAAAAAACTTTAACTTTTCCTCAAATCCTGGGTCGCAGTTAGGAATAGGCCTTCATGCAAAAAGTGCAGGCCGCTTTGAGACATACCGACTTAACGATATCATACGCCGTTCCTTGCCACCGTCAACGTCCAAGTCTATTGAGCCGAGTGGTATTGAAGAACGACGAGGAACCGGAGTTGAGTTTGTCCATGGAAGATGGGCCGGGTTGGTTTGGGAGACTGTACAGACACGCTGCCCGTTCCCATCTACATGGAACCAACTACAGAGCTGGTGATTGTGAAGCGGCTGAAAAATAAAGCATGCAAAAGGAGTTAGGCTCAGAATATGTTGTCCCATTCGGTGTCGAGACCCTTAGTCCGTGGGGTCCTAGCGCTTTAAGGCTTTTTTAAAGAAATTTCAAAAAGTTAGTCGAATAAGAGACCGAAGATTGGCAGCTACCTCGACAAAGAATTAGTCTAGCAATTCAAAGGGGAACTGCCAGTTCTTCGGACCCTTGCTTAAAGGGACTCCTTTTATATTTAGATTATGTTAAGTTTATATTTATTTCAAAATATTTATTTAATGTTCTCTTCGTGTATTAAAGGTGAAATTAACTTAATAGAATAATGAATAAAACTTATCTAAAAAAAACTTGTGTACAAGTTAAGTTAAGTATTACAATACAAATTACAATGTTTCTAAAATAGCCAACTGGGTCTTAGCATAAAGTCTTGGTTCTGTGCTCTTTTAAAAATACAACAACAAAAACAAATGTTAATTTAGCTCTGTAATAAAATAATAATCATATTGATATGTATTAAAAATACCATAGGTTTAAGTATGAAAATTTGCACCACAATGATAACAACAACACATATGAGATGAGGTGCTAGTATAAACTTGCACATCTTTATTAAAGAAAAATCACATGTTTTTATATTTAACAACTTTAATGTACGGGGTAAACAATAAAACTATCTCTATAGACCTAAAGCTAAGTTTAATCACGCTATTTATATATGATAAATAATATTACATTTCCTCGATTAACTTAAATCTGTTATGTTGTGGTTTAGGTATGATATTAAAATACTTCTTAAAAATTACTTGGTCACCTCTTCCACTATAAATTCTTTGAACCCATGTATGCTCCCAATTTGGTTCAAATTTTTCACATGTCACCACAACTTTCCCAGGTTCCATAGCAAACAATGTGCCATTACGCCCCATTCCAACCTGGAAATAGTAAATATCAATTTAATTATTGAAACTAGTACTCAATTTTCTTTTAGCACGTAGACATTTCAGTGCACATCTTTCATGTCACAAAAGTATTTTTAATATTATGAATGTAGTTTTCTAGCATAGATGAGACTGTTTGATAAGTCTAAAACTCTATAAACTATAAGGCCCCTGTTGCTATACTACAATTACTTTTATAATTAATTATATCACTTACATTTAAACCTGGATGGAATCTTAGGTTTCTTTGAGTAGCTAAAATATGTCCTGCTTGCACATTGTGTCCATCTTGAACTTTCCAGCCTCTGTGCTTCGGTTTAACTTTACAGTTTGTATTTCTTGTACTGCCTCCAGTTTTCTTACTAGCGTGTCGAACTATGTCTGTTTAGAGTTTTTTCATATAAACAATAGATACAAGCGGATTATCTAACTTAGCTTACTTAACTTGAAACAAATAAAATCTAGTAACAATAATACTAACCTAAAAAAGGTGAAAGAGGTTTGATTGTCATTAAAAAATTCCACGACATATTTGTTACAATGTTTGTTGGATTAAAATTTGAACAATATACCGAAGTAAATAGACAATAAATTATTATTTTGTTTATTAATTTGATTCAGTGTTTCTACTTTCTCATGTCCTATTTTTAATTTTAACAATTGGCAATTGGCATTTGGCATTCTATTGTGAGTTATGACATTGACGTATCATTATAAACTAATATATAAACAACTAGCGATGGGCAAGTGGCAACTCGAGTTATCTAACTCGAGTTACTCGGGTGGGGCCATGGCGTAGGCGAGTCAGCCCGAGCTAAAATATCTGCAAACCGAGTTGACTCGGAGAGTGCGCGCGGCGTGTGTGTTCAACTGTTCAGTGGCGGGCTCCAGTGTTGCCACTAGTGGATATTCCACTAGATCTGGTGGTTTAGATATACGTTTTAGCGGGCGAATTTTGGTTTTAGTGGTAGTGGATTTTTCTAGTGGTTTAGTTTGTTTCATAGTGGTAGTGACATTTAACCACAGACGAGTGATATCTTTACAGGAAAAGACGAAAACTTTACCTTATCAAGGAATATTTTGTCATTATGTAGGCAACTCTGTAAAATTACGTTCGTTATTTTCGGGAATTTTCCGAAACAAGTTTATCAATTTCTTAAATTATTTTGATATGGGTTGTATGACTAATGGGTCATTTGATTTGAATTGGATTTGTGGTTCGTATGAGCACAAAAATAGAAATAACAACACAGAACTTAGTAGTTTTGGTTAGTAGTCGGAGCGACCTTGTTGTTGATGTTTAGTTTATTTTTAAAACAAAATGCCAAAACCGCAATATACGCAAAAGTCCGGGTTGTTGGTTACGGGACTCCCAATTAGGACTGGTGGATGGTGGAAGAATGGGAATTTGGAGAGGTGGGTTGAAGACATTGAGGAGAAAACCGATTTGAAGATTTAGCCACGTTTGTATATTTATATTTTACCGCACTCTAAGCGAGCGATTATTCAGCATTATGAATATCGTGAAGACAAAACAAGAAACCGAATGAAGCTAGATCTACTGTACTATATGACAATCCGCGCAGGTTTAAACCGCGAAGGAAAGTTTGCAATAATTACATCTTGCCAAATTAGTAGTCAGAAAATAGGAACGAAAGAAATGTACTTAAAATCATAAGGAGAGGAATCCGACTTGCTGAAGATGATTTTTAACGATTTGTATCTATAATTTTTTTGTAATGAAAATAAACGAATTTTATAATTCAATTTACAATATTGTTCTTTTATTGTCAAAAAATATATCCTAGCTGTAGCTATCCATCTAAAGTAAAGAGTGACAAGTCATAGACTATGTTTACTTCAGTAAAACATGTTTTCCCGCGGTAAAAACAAAAAATAGTGTCGCCGGTGCTTGCTAACCCCCTCCTACTGCGGACATAAAAATCACATCGTCCTATTTTCCTTTCGGCGTGTGAAAAAGGATAAATAAACAAACACACTTACATTTATTTTATATTAGTTGGATTTTATGTTCTGGTGGGTTGCGACGGCAAAATTGGGGTTCGTTAAAATTAAGTTGGCAACATGGCGGGCTGCGGGCACGCGGCCCGGGTCGCGGGCAATGCGGTGGGCTAGCGGCTGGCGCCCCTCGGCTAGCTCGCGACTCGCGAGGCCCGAACAACCCGAATCAGCCCGACGACCGAAGTTTGGTCGTCGTCGCTCGAACCGTTGTTGGTTTCATATCTGACGTTCTTACTTCTTATGAGAGAGTTTTGAGATAAAAAGCCAGCTCACTTATTTGTTTTGTTAAATTTTTTGTTATTGTTTTGTTGCAGTTTTATCAGTTTCTGTTATTTGATTTGTTGACTTTATTAAAGAAATAAGTGCCATTACTTAGATGTTGATTAGTTTTTTTTAAATAAGTATTAGTTGATAGATAGATGACCAAATACCAAACTGTGTTGTTGTGTTTAATTTAAAGAATAAAGTTCCATTAGATTTATTTTAGTTTCTTATTATTTACAAGGTAAAAATGTTACCATAATTTTATTTTGCGCTACATAAGTAAGTTCATTTTGTGATGTGACGTTTGTAAACACTTTTAATAATAATAAACGTCTGATTTTTTAATGGGCTCAATTTTATTTGACTACCATTGACTCGAAGACTCGATGCAGCCCGCTAGACCTGACCTGGCGAACCGTGAACGTAGCAAACCGAGTCAGCATATTATATTGACTCGGACGGACGACATGGCGTCGCGACGGACCATAAGGCAAACCGAGTTGCAACTCGAGTTAGTATCCGTTTCAACTCGAGTTACTCGAGTTACCAAAAAGTCAACTCGGCCCATTGCTATATACAACCATATTTAATGACAATTGTCATTAAGAGGCTTTTGACGGCATTCAAAATAAATGTTGTTGTTATCTGTATAAAACATGTATTTAAGTTTTATGGAGTAAAATAGCTTGTAAATAATCATTAATTTATCAAAAAACTACAATCAATCAAAATCTTGTTTTTATGTCAGCCACATGATAAAACGGTCAGGTTAAAGCCCGATTCACACATATCCGTGAGGCCACAGGGGGTCTAGCCAAGATGGCTTAACAGTAGTGTATGTAGAAAGTCGAAAACTAAGGGTATGTTCCGATATACACTGCGACCACTGTACAGAGTACCGTCAATTTAGTATACTGTGAAACCGTTTCTCTATAGCCAGCTATACTGGTTACAATTTAAAACGGAACGCAGTCCAGTATACTAGTCAGCTTCGTTTTTCGACACAATTTTCAAATGAGTGCATCAAAGTTTTTCAATTCAACAAGAAAAACTATTATTGTAGTATTATCGCATTAAAAAAATCTATATTAATATTAACTGTCAATTGAATTAATACTACAAAGAAAGTAAGTTAGAATTTTAAATGTTTGTTATTAAACTGTAAGTTATATCAGCCGTTAGGCATTCAAGTGGTTTTGATTGATCACGTGATCAAAGCACTGCGAGTACCTTACCTCGAAAACGCCAGTGCTCGCAGTAGAAGTATAGCGGGGATTTGTGACGTCATATATTTCCCTAGGACGCTGCAGCTGTATACTGGCGTCCATAGCGGAACGAATTTTTGAACAGTGGGAGCACTATACAGTACTCGCAGTGTATATCGGAACATACCCTAAATTTGTATGAAAATGACAGCTCGTGTCGACAGTCGGTAGCCTAGGCCCTAAAGGCGTGAGTCGGGATACAATAAGCGACGCCACGACAGTGCTAGTGAAGGGATGTGACATTCTGCATAAAAAAACGATTTTTTATTAATCGATTATTTTTTTAGCATGAAAAATTGATTTTTTCCTAATTTTTAAATTCATTTCAAAATAAACACCCTAAATATTTTATTTTTCATGGTTTTTTTTATTCAAAATAAACAATAGAATTTATGAACACAAATTAACGTTTAAGAATAATCAAAATCAAAATTAACTCTCTCGTAACTTTTCTCAAAATCTCGTTTTGATAGATTGTAGGTGAAATTTGATAAATGCTGAGTGTACCTTTTCAGTAGCACATTGCAGTATTTTTGTTGTCTTTTTAATTGTATGTAGTCTTGTGCTGCTGAATAAATTGATTTTACTTTTAAATTATAGTGTTCCATTCAAACTTGAGTTTTTGTAAAATTAACTGGTTTTATCATCCTTTCGATGTTTTACAAAAAAAACATCAATGCATCGAGTATATCAATACATCTTCAAAGAATCGGATTTAATGTATCGCATTGTAAACATCGTTGCATATCGAATATCCCTAATACTTCGAGGTCCGCATTATAAAAGACCAGACATAATGTCGGGAAGTGGCAGATAAAAAATCGACTATGATTGATTTTCAATTATAAAAATAATCGATCATTAATCGATTATTTTAAATACAAAAATCGCGTAAAAAAATAGATTTTTACTTTTTAAAAATCGATTTTAATCGATTTTTTTAATAATCGGTTATTTTTTCACATCCCTAAGTGCTACGAAAAGACACACATTAACGCTTACGCTATTCGGTAGCCAACGGCCAATTAATGTTTCGGCAGTGTAGAAAAAACGGCGTTTTTCCGCCATGTTTTAGCGTGATCTTAAAAGCTGCTGTATGCAATAATTCAGTACAACTATTGCCATCTTTAAAGGCTACCGTTTTAAAAACGTCATATTTTGGACGTTTTAACGAAATGGTTTTAATTTGTTATAGCTGTCTTTGGTAACGGTGCGATAACGATGTACCCGAATCTGATGATACTAATTATGCAGGAGTCTTGGGGGAACTGAACAATGAAAGTCATTGGAACACCTCCAAGTGATTTTAGCTGCCGGAAATGCGTCAAAGTATTTTAAAAAATTTTTTAAAGTTTTGTGAAATGTATTGAAATTTGTAAACAATCCACCATTATCTTTTTTTCTATTGGTTATAAGTGATGTGACATTTTCGGTAAATTAATCGGATCGATTATTTTCTCATTTGTTATTTTTAAAGTTGAACCTAATCGAATATACATATATCGCGATTATGCAATTTCAAAATATTGTATTTATTTGTAGCCTTAAATTTCTGAGAAAACATGAAACAAACCATAAATAATTTAAACATGCAATTAAAATTCATATATTCACTTTGCACCTTCCGTAAATTCCACTTAAATCGAAAATTGTTCCGACCTTGCTGACATTCTAATGTCCCTTTTGCAGCTTCCAATAATTGGAATTTGCAATTATTGCAAATTTACAATAATATTGTAGTTTTAACTATTATTTGTTTATAAAAGTGACATTAGAGTAACAGCAGCTCGCATCTACGCTGTCGACTTTGCGGTAATGTATCGACATGCCTCTTGGCTACGAACGAAGCGTTTTCGACAATACAATTACGCAAAAGCGGTAGTGTATGTAGAATACTTTTCGACACCAATATGGCTAGATCCCAGTTCCGACACAGTACCGGCACCGTGCGTAATATTCTTTCATACATTCTCTATGAA